AGGAAGAAAGAGAGAAAAGAAGGCGATGACAACGAGCTACACAAGAACAGTTGTTTCAAATGAAATCAAAGTGTGGGTTTAACAACAGTGATCCTGCTGCTTTGGATAAACGGTGTTTGAGAGCGTGAGAAGATTTCAGCTGCCTGCTTCCCTTCACTGCTATGTGTTGGTTGTTTTGAGACCCACCTGTATGATTCCCACCAGCGTTGTGAGCACGACAGCCACTTGAACCCTCCTCGCATCACGAGCCTCCACGTTGAGCACGACGGACGTGTTGGAGCCGTTTACAGGTATGAGAAACATGGAGTCAGGCGCCTCCCTCACCGCAACCCCTCCGATCATCAGACTTATGACTGCAAAGGTGCCTGCAGATCAAAACACATGAACACAGAACAGTCAGACTTTGAGATCACTGAATTATGAAACTGGACTTTCCAGGTTTGGTTCTGTACACTTTAATGGATTCTGCTGTAAATGAAGATCACATAAAGTGGGTCAGTGTATCACTCTGAATGAAAAGGCCATCCTGCCCAACACTTGAACAGCAGCCCAGTTATTCCCTCTCGCTCCCTGCCAGAAGTTAAGAGATCGTTTCCACAGCAACCTTCTTTTACACTGTATTTAATTAAAGTTAAATTAAAGGGTTCACTTGACTGGTTCTTTGGTTTAAAAAGGTTCAGCAGGTTTGGTTCATTTAGTCCAGCGATCAGATTGACTTAAAGGTTAGAGCTGACATCTGAGAAGACTTGGAGCCCTTTCAGACATCAGTCAGCTGAGAGAGACATCAGGGTGGAGGAGAGGTCAGAGACGTTTCACAATCCTGCAGAGTCCAGGAGAGTGGCTGCACTTACTTCCTTTACGTTGTTTTCTTTCTCTCTCTTAAGAATCACTCTAAATAAAAAGGCACAAAATGCTCCCAATTACTTTTTAAAAAACACTTCATAATCTGGCTCGGTGTGAAACTTGATAATCTTTGGACAGTTCATTTGGCTTGAGACAGATACAGTTCTTGGCACAAACACTTGAAATCAAACTGGCTGCCACTGACTCCCTTAAAGACCTCCAGTAATTCAGACCAGGATAGCCATTAACAAACAGGGATGGGAAACACCACAACATGCATATCATTGCAGCACGACAAAAGTTATGGTATATTTCCAAATTAGTGCTTACAAGTTGCTGTCCTGTTTTGAGTTCACCCTGAAGTTACCACAGTAACTGTAAATGATGCACTGATCTACAGGGGGTTGTAGATCATCAGTTCTGCCTGTTATGAAATACTCTCCCTTCACATCACGCTGTCCCGACCGTGATGTCTTTGTAGGGCAAGGCAAGTTTATTTATTTTTTTATTTTTTTAAAGTACTTCACACGACATCAAAAGCTTCATGACAGAGGAAGAAAAATAAATATTGAAATAGAACATTTAAAAATCCCTAAAAAAACAATTCACAATCACAGAGGAGAACCATTTGGACATTCCTTGGCATTTTTACTACCTCCTTCATATCCCAGATTTGAACATCTTCACAGGTTGCGTATTTTTACGGTTGTACGCAAACCTCCAACTATTGGATAATTATAACAACAGTTATCACAGTAAATGCCAAGTGGGTTGGAGTTGTAGTTGTTCTTATGTGCATGAAGGTCTGCTCAGGACAGTGACCAGTTCACACACGAGTGATACGGGTCACATTTAAAAAGCACATGAGCAGCGGAACTGAGTGTTCAGGCTGGCAGTGTAAACGCAGCCTTAGTTTGTGAACTCTTAGAAACATTATGCAAAGTGTATGATCTGCCTTCAGGGCAGGTTAAAAAAAATATATATTTCACCTTAGACCAATTCATGTCTGGGCCTGTACAGTATCATGCTGTCAAGTGTAACAAGGTGGTGGAATGAACTTCCAAACTCCATGTGATCTGCAGAGTCCCTCTGCACCTTTAAGAAAAAGCTAAAGACCCAGCTCTTTCATGAATACCTACTAACTTAATGATGATGGTCTCCATATTATTATTGATGATGATGATGGTAATGACGATGGTTTTTGTTTGTTAACGATGACTTATAAGATGGTTTCTATACTGATTAGAGCTCTCAAGAACTGCCGTCAATGTTGTGCTTTGCCTCTGGTCACTTCCTGTCAGCACCTGTGTGTCCAATCAGACTCAAAGCTGATCGTTTGCTCTTACTGACATTGTTCCCTTTTTTCTACATCCTTGCTTGTGTTGTTCTTACTCTCTGATGTACGTCTCTTTGGATAAAAGAGTCTGCTAAGTGAATTGAAGAATTGTAGAAGGTGTCCAGTGCACTTTGTGTGTGTGCATGTGAGTCATCCTGCCCAGCACTTTAAAAGCCACCCAGTTATTCGCCTTTGCTCTCTGCCAGGAGTTAAGAGATGACTTTATCAACAGCTATGAGGGAGTGCAATTTTACTTCCTGATTCACTGCTGCTCATGTCAGCTGAGGAAACAGCTGTCACATTTGAGGGGAAATATTTCCTCCCTGTTCTATTTCAAAAACTTTACATCATTTTAATCTCATAAAGTTGATTTAAAATCACTTTAAATAGTAACTGAAGATGAGACTCAGGACAGCATCCCCGTGTGAGATGGGTTGTGATCTTTGTGGCTACTGATGACACAATTAATTTAGATTATTTTCAACACAACAACACAGACAAGAACAAGAACAAGTTTGTTAATGTTTCTCTTTTCTGCAGGCGACGGCGGACTTGCTGTTAAAAACTGAAGCAATAAGACACAAGGATACTGGAAATGTTGCACCATAAGTCAACTTTGCTAAACCACGCCCCCTAAAGCAGCGGCTGATGAATCATATCTTAGCTCCCTGTAACCGGGCATGGCAGGTCTGCTGAGCCTATAGTTTCTCTTCCTGCTGAAGCTGCATGCACTGGGGAAATGATAAGAGAGATAACTCAGCATGTTAGGAATTAGGAGATTTAAGATTCTTGTGCCCTGAATATTAGAGTAAAAGTTCAAATGAAGCAGCGTGCAGAATTTCTCTGGATTAGGTTGAAAGCGGGGCTATCACTCTCTCCATCGAAGAGTCTGCTATAGAGGCTTTCCCACTTGCAGAAATCTCCTGAAAAACTCCTGACATTTCCAGGAGGGGCTGTTTATGTGAACGCAAACAGCAACATTTTCACTTGGACTTGTATTTTTTCCAAGTGAGATGATGTGAGAACGCCGCAGGATATTCTCCAGAGAACTCAGATCGAGCAATAGAGGGAGAGTGGCACGAACGGCACGTCTTACCTCAGGAGACCCCCTGTCAATGTGTGACGGCAAACGGTAATATAGTCATAAACATTAACCGTGAGTAAGTGGCGGGGTTTCTCTTAAACTCTTTATTGCTCGCCTCAGTTGTCACTTCATGGTTTCCCACTGCTGTGTTTGTCTTCATATGGTGGGATACATGTTGGAGAGATGTAACCCCAGACACGGTCACTGTTATAGCACACTCCTGTATGCACTACCCAGCTGCCCCCCTGATCCACAGGTATTATTTAACATGATTAGTTGTGTGTAAGAGCTGGTTGTAAATAGCTATTAGTCTCATTCTATTAGCATGACTGTTCTGACTTACACTCTAACAAAACAAAGCATTTGTGAAAAAGGAAAGTCAGGAAGATTTCAGGGGCAGCCTGTCCCAACATTTTCCAGAGTGCATGTGTGGAATAGTTGTTTAATCAGTTTTTTAAACATTTCAACAAGCAGTGACTTTTGTCCAAAGCAATGTACATTAGAGAGTAAGAACAAAACAAGCAAAGATCTAGAGAGGAGGAAACAACATCAGTAAAGTTAAGTCCATTCGGATGCAGGTGTTGACAGGTAGGAGCTCACCTTGTCAGGTATAAGTAAGGGGGACTTTGTAGAAAGTTTGCAGAAAAGGACATTTTGTGCAAAAAACACAGCCATCACGTAAGAACAAGAACAACCTACTTTAAAGTTTACTGTATCCTTCAGGGGGTTTTCTAACCTCCATTTCGGCTCCAGCCACAGCTTGAAAGACAATATTTATGACCCAACCTCTACAAGAAGCTTCAAGTTTATTTCTTACCCACTGATATGTGCCTGGATGTGCCAAAAAAGGTGTAGAGCAGGACGGGGTAGAACGAGGAGTACAGACCATAAACCGGAGGTACAGCAGCCAGCATGGCGTAGGCCAGACCTGTTGAGCGGAGGAGAGGAGAGAGATGTAAATAAACAGAAACAGTCTCAGGAGCAAAGAGCGTGCAACACAAACTCAGAGCTGTAGAGATACAAAAACAAAGACAGTGTGAAGCTGAGGAGTCAGCAGCTGGTTTTTCACAGAGTTAACCCCAATTTCATTCAAGCCTGAGTCAAATAAGCCCGTTTCTACTGCGCAGCCTTTGAATACATGACATTATTGGATTCAACAATCAGTAAAGGTGATGTTTTTTAGGCTTACAGATGTGTGACTACGTGGAGTCTGATGATGTTTTTTAGGTTGTGGAGCTCTACTACAGAGATGGAACAGAATGGGATGATTTCCTGACCTTGTGGGAGCTGCACGACTCCTGTGCTGAGACCCGAGACCACGTCTGAAAACAGGTACTGCTTCACCGGGTAGGATGGCAGCCATGTTAAAATGGGCAGGAAACTCACCAGTGCTGCCTTGGCCTTTTCATTTGAACACCTGTGAGAAGAGAAAAAAAGAAGAAGCACTTTTGAAATTTACAACTGAAATAAAAAATTTAAAAAGACAGACAAAACATGTTCATTGTTGCCACAGAAACGTCAAAGACCGCTGCATAAGGAAGCGTGAGCTGCGACTGGAAGCTGCCGTACTGTTGCTGTTTGTGCTGCTGTGATAAAAAACGTTGTGTAAATTATACTCGGATACATTAGCTCGTCAGTAGACATATTCTCTTTCTCAGGTCGGGTTCACTCTTTCGTCTTAACTACGGTCAACTCTGAGTTCATTTACATCGGATACATTTCATATGGAATGCTGCTATATTTGCTCTTCTGCTTCTTTTGGGCTTTTTACACCTTTATTGTGGAGACAGGACAGTGGACAGAGTCAGAGTGTTGTAAAGAAGCCACAGGTTAGTTTCAAACCCAGGTCACCCTCCTCGAGGACTTAAGCCTCTTTACATTTTTTTTTTAAATTTAATTTAATTTAAGCATTTAATTTAAGCGTCTTTGAGTATTTAGAAAAGCGCTATATAAATCTAATTAATTATTATTAATTACGTGCACAGAGATCGTAGTGGTCGTGTGCAGACACTCTGTGCAGCAGTAACAGTATATAAACAATACTCCCCCTCCTATTGGCTCGAGTTGAATTCTCCAGAGAATATCCTGCAGCGTTCTCACATCAGCTCACTCTGACTTGTTGCATAAAAAATACTAAGGGACTAGTAGGAAAAACTCTGGGTGAAGTCCGAGCGAAAAATGTCGCTGTTTGCGTTCACATATACAGCTCAGCTCCTCCGGGTAATCTCAGGAGTTTTTCAGGAGTTTTCTGCAAGTGTGAAAGACCTCATACAGTCCATAAAGCTCATACTAGTCTCAGCACATCTTCAGTGGTGAATAACTTCCTGCCAAAAATGTACAGTGACAAAGAGCAAGATGGAGTGTTAGGTTTCCCAGGACGGAGACCATAAAAGTGATCAGTCATGTTAGCACAGACAGGGCAATAATTTTTTTTACGGCCTTTTACCGGTTTAATGGCCATAAAACTGAAATTAAAACCAGGAATGTACGGCTCAGTCATCGTTTGTCACCGTGGTAGAAAGCAACAGCAGCATTAAAAGTTACTCTTAATATTTACTTTACCTACACTAACAGAGCCTCAAAATATCTCATGATGTCTTCATCTGTTTACACTTTTATACACAGATAATATTATCATATACAATATTTCTACTCACACACAACATGTCACTCGGTCTTTAATAATCACTTTTAAAGGGGTTACCACTGAAGATTGTTTCCCATTTCAATAAACCTGCATACACATTTCACGATAACCTCTCGCCCTTTTGCAAAAGTGCCGTAACTAAGCTCCTTGTACGTCTTTGTACATTCATATTGACTCTACATCGGCGTAATAATGGTGTCCGAGTCTGTGAATTCATATTGTGTTTTGGGGTTGCAGAAGCACGGCACAGTGGGATCTCCTCATAGACACACAGTCAGACATGCACACACACACACACAGCACTGCGCTCGTCTCGCCCTGTAGCGCCTCTGTTTCTAACTCTGAAGACAGTACAAAGGGGGGATCACTTCGTCCCCCCCCCATTACAAGCCTCTACAACATTCAGATTGTAAATGGCTTGAAACTGCAGCGTGAAGAGAGCTGCTGATTAAATGTGTAGTCTCTAAATTGCCATATAAAACTCACAGATTGTGCCTTCAAATTGCTCAGATCAGTTTGAATTCACACAGTATAAAGAAAAGCAGAAAACCATCAGATTGAAGAAGCTGGAACCAGCAAAATGTTTGACATTTCAGCTGTGACTGTGATCAATGTCATCGGGAAGAGAAACTGAATAAATGAATAATTAAAGTGCCACTTGGAGGGAAAGGATGGATGACATTTGTAAGTTGTAGAATGATAACTAGCACCCACGTGAACTGTGAAACGAATTGTAATTTTTGCTCAACAGGTGATTTTTGTTATAAATCCATTATCAGAATTGTCGATAAAGATTTGTTATTCAATGACTCAATGAGTCAAATCCAACTTTTTACTACTTAATCTAAAGATTCAAACACTTTTAAAGTCTTTGCACCATGTTTTTGCGCTGCATATAAAATAATATAATGGTAGAAGTTCATCCGGAGGTAAATCATCCTCAGCCTGAACTTACCTGCAGTGTTGTGCGAGCCTCTGTCGGAGGGTTGTGGAGTTTTCTTTGCGATGGAGAAGCTTCGTCCTGATGAAACCTTCATCGTACACCGGACGCTCTATCCTGTACATCAGCTGGGATTCTGCATCCTTCCCAGCTGCAGCGTCTTCTGGCTCCATGACAGAGGCAGGAGAGCTCATGGTAATGAGTCAGCGAGTTAGTCCCTCTGTGCTGTTTAAGTCTCCTGTTCCTTCTTCTCTGTCATTGTCCTGGCTGGTAACTCCCCATTCCTTTTGTCTGTGCTTCCTCTTTCTGCTCAGACACCGAGAGGACAGGTCAGGTATTACTCAAAAAACAACTGGCTCACCTTAAGTTTCCACATTTTAAAATCATAGCACAAGTGGGAGTGATCATAACCAACCAGGCGTCTGTGTTTGTTCATTTTTGTGCTGATAAGGGGGACTTTGGTTGGATTTGTAAGGCGACTCCCTTTGGGTAAATGTTTTATCAGATTTGAATTCTGGACAGTTATGCAAAAAGCATAGGCTAGACTATGGCTGATCTATTAATGGAGATAAAGTCTTCATTTCAAAATCCCACGAGGTAAAAGTATCACTGAGAAGTGTCATAGCGGAGGACAAAGACCTTTTGTGTTTGCTGAACTTTTCTCATTTAAAAGTCATGCAAACATGACGAACTTCTCCATCTATAGAACCAGGAACCAGATCAAATTACTTTATTGATTCTACAATTTCCCAGTTTGGGGTCAGTAAAGTAATTCTCTTCTATTCTATTACAGGAGGTTGAGTGCAGTCCTCCTGAGTTTAATGTTTTTGTTACTTTTGTGTGTGGGCAACGCTGATCCCCATGGGACACCATATGTCTTCATGGCCGATCTTAGCTGTAAAAAAAAAAAAAAAAGGATGATCCTGGTAGATTATATGCAGCTTGTAAATCATTCAAGGCTCGTAACCCTTTGTCGTTATACAAGTCTTTTAAAACATGCTCCTCCAACGTGGGAAAGAGAAAGGTATATTACCAGTAAGAAGCGAGAAATTGTTGAATATAGGTGAATGATTGTGCCACGTGAGGTCTGAGTGGACATGTCTCATGACAGTACGGCAGGTTGTAAGCAGAAATGAAATTATAGGTCCAAGATGCAATTTGGCTTTTTTTCAAAGGGATGTTGGAATACACTAGGTCCTGCAACCTATGAGGTAGCGAAATATTCTCCTCAATTGGTCTCCAGGCGACAGAGGAGCTAGGATTGAACCATGTAGAGAGAGGACGTAACACAAAGGACCAAAAGTACACCTTCAAACGTGGCAGGGCCAGCCCTCCCTGTATCTTCTCACGCTGGAGAGTTGTGAATTTCAAACGGGCCCTCTTAGCTTTCCATATCAATTTGGAGACTAATGAGTGAAGCCTTTCCCAATACCCTACTGAGGGAGCAAGAGGGACCATCGACGAGTAAAAGTTAAGACGAGGTAGAACATCCATCTTAACTATTGATATACGAGCTTGGAGTGAGTTCGGGAGATTAGACCAGCGTTCAAAATCTTTCTCTATACGACTGTATATACCTTGAAAATGTTTCATTGCAATGGTGGCTGTAGAGGGAAAGATATCAACGCCAAGATATCTCAAACTCTTAACTATTGGTATATGTGAAGGCAGTGGAGTTTGAGAAGTAACTGAGTTTTCAGCCTAACATTAAACACTAACATTAAACTCTAACATTAAACTCTAACATTAAACTCTAACATTAAACACTAACATTAAACACTAACATTAAACTCTAACATTAAACTCTAACATTAAACTCTAACATTAAACACTAACATTAAACTCTAACATTAAACTCTAACATTAAACTCTAACATTAAACACTAACATTAAACTCTAACATTAAACACTAACATTAAACTCTAACATTAAACTCTAACATTAAACTCTAACATTAAACTCTAATATTACTCCTGTGTTTTTGTTACTACAGGTTCTCACAAGAAAATAAGAGGTAAATTATGGAGACACAAAAGTAATAAAGATACTATAGTTCAAAAAATATTATCCCTTTCTCTGCCTTTGACCCTGAATGTCTCTCCATCCTTCACTTTCTGTCTGTTGTTGTTGTAACCAGACAGGTATAAGACTAACCGTTATTAAAATGAATGATTCATTTAACCTTTTACAATCATTTTAAAATCATTTATTTAATTGATTTATTATTGATTTATTATTATTACACTGTTTTTCTTCGACTCGTTTGAATCATAACTATTGTGAAATAATGTTTGAACTGATTTAATAATTTTCCAGATTTTATCAACTCTCGTCTCGTCTTTACATTAACGTTAGCTAACGCGAGACTAATTAAGCACAACAAATGACTTCGTCCCTGAAATTGTGAATACAATTATATCAGCTGTGTTTGTGGTACAAGTGTTCACCAGTGTTTATTTATCTGCACGGTCCTCAAGGGTATTTGAATTGTGGTTCAGTATTTAAGCTAACTTAAAGATGGTAGCAGAAAGACTCTTACCTGCCTCCAGCTCCTGTGAGGATGCTGCTGCCTGTGAGGAGATTATTAAATTGAGTATCTGGTATCTTGAGTTAAAGTTTAACAAGTAAAACGTCCTTCGTTCGGAGCAGACACTTGCTATATGCGAACAGAGATAGTTTACAATGAAGCGATGGATTACTCCAGAGGGAAATTCCTTTTCCACTTCCGGGATGCAACGATGACCGTTGGTCCGCACGCATGCGCAGTATATTTGCACACATTGTTTAGTGTAAGCTTATACGCAGAGGTGCTGCTTGTCAACAAGCAAGGCAGGCAGCTGCTTGGGGCCCCAGGTCAGTAGGGACCCCGAGGGCTGAAATGTGCAAAATTTGAAATGACAGTAGGAAACCTCCCTAAGGGTGTCCCAACTGACTGCTGTGAAAATCTACATTTGTCAATTACGTGGAAAATACGTAATAAGGTTTTTTTATGCGCTGTATATTTATATTTTGAAAATAATTCTGATGTCATCTTTGGAAATTAAAATGTTTTCCCCTTTCTCAATCTTTGTTGATGTCAGATTATTTATGGTAAATGAACTTTCTGACAATTACACAGCAGGTCACACCTATCCAATCACACACTGATGGCAGAGGCTGCTTTGTAAAGTGTCCATAAGTTTTAACTTATCCCTTAACTTGTACATATGCTGCTGCCAAAGCAGCAGGAGCAATTTTTCTTGCCCAAGGACACATGGGACATGTGGCTGCAGGAGCCGGGTTGAGAGATGAACGACTCCACCTACTGAGCTCCTATTTATGACATAATGGTGATGAATTGGATCGGCCCCCATGTGATTTTTTCTGCTCATGGGCCCCAAAATACTCCAGTGCAACATTTGGCTTTACAAGATCTTCCTCAGGATTTTTAGCATATTTTAAATGTACAAAGTCTTAAATTCATGATCATATTTGACATATTTTTTATTTCAGGTTTCACATAACTTTGCACACTTTTTTCTATAAAGAATAAAAAAATCTATATGGCCATCAAAATATCAAATAAATGATCAGAATTAACTTCAAAAGAAACATACATTTGTCTTTTTTCCTCTCATATATTCACTGTCTTCCGATTTCTATGGACGTGAAGCCACTATTGCTGTTTCAAACTATTCTCTTGGTATGTGGACTGTAAAGTTCAACTTTTTGCTCTGTGATGGAAATCTGAAAAATAAAGATACAACAGGTACAACACAAGTGAATAAGAAACTTACTAGAATGTACACTTACCAGTACCAGGGCGTAGGATGCTTATAAACCAAAGATAATCTAAAGATACACAAGCATGTCCAGCTTGATATCCTGACTCACCTGATTTAAAGGGACTTCAGAAAACCTGTTAACATGGTTTAGGAGGACATACACTCACCTACATCGTTTAAGAGGAAATTTTTGTAAATGTCCAAATAAGTCATTTTATTTTTTGTTTAAATCAAAAGTTGTGTTTTTAGATC